TCTCACCTACTTTGGGCATGGTGTCAGGAAGGGGAGAATCCATGGGAAAATGCATCGTACTTGGAAAGGTGGTGGATCAGAGGAAGCCCCTCAACCAGATGGAATGACCCAGTGAAACGTGGGCTTGGGCATATCAGAGGGGGTGGGCATGGCGCAGGACAGAGCAGGGTTCACCTCTGCTGTTCACAGGGTCGCTGTGAGTCATGGTGGACTGGACAGTCCTAACAGCAACACCAGGGGTCAGCGCCGAGTGTGATACAGATGCATTATCACCTCACTTCTGGTCAAAAGGCTGGTGGCTCAAATCCACCCAGAGAGTGTGAATTATAGACTTGACATTTCCCTCGGGAGATGGCTGCACACTAGGGGTTACCAGGAGTCAAAATTGACCCTGTGGGAGCCAACAACCATGATCAGTGTCCTTCTTGGTAGCCTCCAGGGCCATCCCATCCAGGCATGTAGCCAGCCTTGACCAGTGCGTCTGGCTCTCTTGCTAAGGTTTCTGGGACTTTAACCAGCACTACTTACTGCCTTATGTTCCTGACTCTCCCCCCTTCTCTGGAGATGACCCTTCAATATCCAAGGCTCACTGATGTCCATCCCCTGCGTGGATTCAGACCTGGGGTGATGGGTGCTCACCTGAGGGATGGCGGGTGAGCAGGTGCGAATCGAGGATCTTACCAGCTTATGTGTTTAGTAGCAGAAGCGGCAGCTGAGACGTCCCTGGAAGGCGGAAGCATGGCCCTGGCTATCTTCATCCCTGTGCTCATCATCTCCCTTCTGCTAGGAGGAGCCTACATTTACATCACCAGGTAAGGGGGGGAGAAGTCTGGAGTAGGAGTGGTGGTGGCGGCCCCACCGAGAACTGACAGCTGAGCAGGGACTGGATGATGATAAAAGAGCGAAACATACGGATAACTGGCAGAGCCTGTAAGTACAACTGGGTTGTAAATATAACTGGGTTCTACAACCTTATTAATCAATATAACTGGTTCTGGGACCTCATTGATAAGTATAACTGGGTTCTAGAACCTTATTATTCAATATAACTGGGTTCTAGGACCTCATTGGTAATTATAACTGGGGTCTAGGACCTTATTGATAAGTATAACTGGGGTCTAGGACCTCATTGATAACTATAACTGGGTTCTAGCACTTCATTGATAACTATAACTGGGTTCTAGGACCTTATTGTTAAATATAACTGGGGTCTAGGACCTCATTGATAACTATAACTGGGTTCTAGGACCTTATTGATAAATATAGCTGGGTTCTAGAACCTTATTTATAAATATAACTGGGTTCTAGGACCTTATTGATAAATATAACTGGGTTCTGGGACCTTATTGATAATTATAATTGGGGTCTAGGACCTTATTGATAACTATAACTGGGTTCTAGGACCTCACTGATAAATATAACTGGGTTCCAGGCTGCGCGAGCAGCATGTGCAGAGGTCCTGAGGCAGTCATGAGCCTTTAGCCTCATGGCGAGAAGTGCACAAATGAATCTCGAGGCACTGAGATAAACTGAAGTGTGCAGAGGGCAGTGAGAGCAGGCCGTCCTGGGGACCTCACAGGGCACATTGTAGTTGCTCAATAAATGCTCCTGGTTATTATCATTGCGCTCAGGAGGCACTTCCATCATCTTCCTCCCTCTCTCCAGCAAAGGACGGTGAAGTCATTGGCATTGGCATCTAGGTTAGAAGTTGACAGCAGTTGTGACTTCTTCTCTCCGGCCTCAGACCCTCACCTACCAGGGGCTGTCCCAAGACAGTGCTAGGAGAATGGCCATTGCTGTCCCATCTGACCTTGTCACGTGTCTCTCTGTCTTCTCTGCAGATGTCGCTACTACTCCAGCCTCCGCCTGCCTCTGATGTACTCGCACCCCTACAGCCAGATTACGGTGGAGACCGAGTTTGACAACCCCATCTATGAGACAGGGGTGAGTAGGTCTCTCCGCTTCCCTACCCACCCATGTCTTTCCCCCTCCATCTGTCCTGACATCACCAGCCTTGAAACAAAAGTTCTGTGTCCTTAGTTAGGGACAAACCCCATCTCTTTCTTTGTCTCCACACACTGTCCTCCTCTTCCTCTGGTCTCCTGTGTTAAGGACAAATTTAGGGACTTAACACACATTGGACATATTAGCACATAGTTTTATTCCACAATTTCCTCCTCTCTTCCCAGGATCTTGTACTGTGATACCTCGCAGGGCAGTAATCAGGCACTTTTTTTTTTTTTAATAAACCATGCTCTGTCCCCTTGCTCTGTCCAGACAGCTGCTTCTCAGTCCCTGAATGGATTCGTTAGGATGACTGCAATTAAGTGTTCTGGACTTCCCATTCTTCCTCATGTTAGACTGTAGCTCTCCTGTGGAATCATGTGATCTCTCTTGGGGTCAGAATCTTAATCCTTATTAACTCTTAATAACTTAATCTTAGCAGGTGCAGTAACAGAATCTTAAGTCTTACTAACTCGTGTACCATAGAGTTGGTACCGACTCATAGCTGACCCTCCGGTGGGTTTTCAGATGCAGTTCATTGCATGGGAGGAGATCGCCCATACCTTTTCTCTCAGGTGACCTTATGGTAAGGAGCTGTGCTGCCAACCCAAAGGCACACAGTTCAAATCCAAAAGGAGAAAGATCGACATTTTCTTCCCATTCAATGTCTTGTTATTTTTTTTATTTATTATGTGCCATCGAGTCACATATGACTCTTCGTGGCCCTGTGAAGAGCGGATCTGAATCCTGTCTGCCTCTGGAAACCTGTTGGAGGGTCAGCTATGAGTCAGTTCCAACTTGACAGTACCTAACAACACCAAGAGTCTCTGTCTAATCCCCTCTGCCATTAAAGTCTGACTATACAGTTAGTTTTCCATAAAGAGTGGAGAAATTGAATTAGAAGCAGGAGCGGCATCCACTTCCTAAACAACATGCTTCCAGAAACTCTATAAACTTTGATAAACGTCGATAGTTCCAGAAAGGCTTCAGGCCTTTTGTTCATAGGGTCACTATGAATCATGCTCGACTCGAAGGCAGTCGACAACAACCACATATGTATGCGGTGGTCATTTTAGACATGGCATTGATCAGAACAAGTCACCTCTTATTTGGCATTCTGTATAGCTTGCATCCGAATTCTGAAGGCAGGTCATGCTAATGGAAAAAAATAGTGTTTCAAAGATTTGTTGTTATTGTTGTCGTTAGGTACTGTTGAGTTTGTTGGCACACATAGCAATGCTGTGTACAGCAGAATAAAACTATCCAGACCGGCACCATCATCGCAATCGATGTTATGCTTGAGTTTATTGTTGCAGGCGCTGTGTCCGTATGTCATTAAGACTCTTCCTCTTTTTTGCTGGCCACCCCTTTTACCAAGCATGATGTCTTTCTCCTGCTGAGAACATAAGCACAAGGGAGCTCTGGTGGCCTAGTGGCAAGAAGCAGTACTGCAGTCCCAGAAGTGTGTGGTTCGAATCCACCAGATGCTCTGCTGGAGAAGGAGTGGCAATCTCCTCCTGTACCAGTCAGATCTGATTTGACAGTACACACACTCAATATAATAAAATTTAAAAGGGCAATGTTTGCCCAAGGAGAAAGTTTAAGGGTCAGGGATATGTAGGTTGGGAGGATGGGTGGAGATAGGAATCCCAGGGAGGAAGGGGGACAAGTGCTGTTATGAGGTGGTGGGCACTGTCCATCATGTCAGAAACTAAAACCTGCGTGAATGGTTGAGTATAAAAGCAATCGCTTTCAAAAAACTTTCACTCAAAGTACAATAAAAGGTTTTCAAAAGAAGTGATGAGATTCTTTGAGGGGCAGCCATGCCAACATTGGATTTTTCAGCCCGAAAATATCTTCCTTTAAGATTGAGTATATTTTGCCAAGCAAGTGACCATGGATGCCCCGACAGCTCTGTGGCCCTTTGCCAGACTGAAAGCTGTGTCACCGCTGTTGGAACAAAGTTCTGGGCTTTGAACTTGGGAAGATAGCCAAGAGTTTCTCTTGGCTATGGTGGTTAAAGACAAGAAAAGCAATTACTTCAGTGACTCTAATGGCAAAGTTCACCAAGCGTTGTGCTGCCGACCCAGAGACTGCCCCTCTCTGTCGGTTCAAATCCACCAGCGGATCTGAGGGAGAAGGATAGGAAGTCTCCTCCGATGTGATTTACAGCCTCTGTGAAGAAGACCCGCTGGACGGTCAGCTGTGAGCCACTCTGACGCAATGACAATAAGTTTGAGGTTTATTTGAACCAATGACAGGAAAGTGGATGCTGCTTGAGAAGGACTTTAATGACACCATGGCGGAGGACACAGCCCAGGTGATTCTTGAACAGTCCCCTGCCCTCCCCTTCCCTGGCCACCAAGAGAAAATACACTTGACCAGACAGACATCTTTGAAGGCTTGGATTGGTCTCTAGACTACAGAATCTTCTATTACATTGATGGCTTGTCCTACACTGTGGATGCCCTTGACCATGACCTGAAGATTAAACAGTCAATGTTCCAGTGGTCTCCATGTTCACAGATAGAGGAAGAATACCCCCAGGTGGTCCACTGGGGCCCAGAGAAAGCTCTAGATGGCTGATTACAATGAGGGAAGTATGGCTCCTTTCAATCCCAAGACAGAGACTCTAATTGTGAAGTTACCTGTTGACAAAATGACTTCGAGCTGTTTGGGAGGGGGGAGCTTGCTCTCAGACGTGTGTGGCCTGCTGGAGGAAATTTTGAGGAAACAAACTGAGTACCTGGTTTAATTTGCTATGTAAATATTCACTGAAATTATAATAACAATAAATCCGATGAAGCAACGGTGGTGTTCATGGACGTACAACTTTATTAACTATATTTAAAAAGGCATTTTTAGCAAGGGGTAATGGGGATTCTGATAAATCTCGCTAAAGAGTATTCATAAATGCCTAGAGCAGTCTATCTACAGAGAACTGCCAGAAATTCAGGCTGGATTTAGAAGAGGCCGTGGCAGGGCCCTCCATCTGGCTGATACCAGATGGATCTTGGTTGAAAGCAGAGAATACTGGAAGAATGTTGATTTGTGTTTTCTTGACGATTCAAAGGCTTTTGGCGGTGTGGATCGTAACAAATTATGGCTGACATTTAGAAGAATATCGGAATGCTTAATTATGTCCAAACTCTTAATTATGCAAAGCCTATGCCTAGACCAAGATGCTGTTGTGAGAACAGAGCAAAAGAGCACTACATGGCCCTAAATCAGGAAAAGTGTGTGTGTCAGGGCTGTATCTTTTCTTCATATCTATTCATTCAGTCTGTATGCAGAACAAATCATTTGAGAAACTCTTCTGTATGACGAAGAATGTGGCACCAGGATTAAAGGAAGACTCATCAACAGCGTGTGTTACTCACATGATACAACCTTGCTTGCTGAGAGTGAGGAGGACTTGAAATGCTTTCTGCAGAGGATCAAAGACTATACAGCCTTCAGTGGATTATATCTCAACATCGAGAAGACAGAAATCCTCACCACCAGATCAGTAGACAACTTCATCACAGATGAAGAAGAGAGAGAAATGATCAATGAATTATTCCTGCTTGGATCCACAATCAACATTCTTGGCACCAGCAGCCAGGAAATCAAAGCATAGTGCCTTGGGAAAGTGCTGTCAGAGACCTCCCCTAAGTGCTGAAGAGCAATGATGTCAGATTGAAGACTAAGGTGCACCTGATCAAAACCATAATCTTTTTGTTATTTGCTAAAGTTAGATAATAAATAAGGATGACAGAGGGGAAAAAAACTGATGTCTTTGAGTTATGATGTTGGAGAAGAGTACTGAATATCCTATGGACAAATATATTTTTCTGTCCTAACAGACAAATATGTTTAGAATGGAGTAGTACACGATTAAATCACTGTCTCTCAATATCTTCCTTGACTTTTTAGTGGGCAGTTGAGTTGTGTCCAACTCTTTAACACTTCTAGCATGCATTCATGGATTTAAAAAAATGGGAGGAAACTCAAAGTTAGAACAATGGGCATCTCACTTATCTGCTAGCAGCATTTTATGCTCATTTTGGCTACGTGGCAACTGTGGCGTGGATGTTCCTCGCAGGCCTGGATTGGCTGATTGTTGATAGTTGGTGGTGGTTGATTAACGGCTCCATCCTTCCCATATCTTTTATCCTTCCACATAGTTCCATGGTTGGCAGCAGAAGAGCAAGGTGCCAGTAGAAATACATGCTGACTGTTTGCATCCTTCCTGTCTCAAGACCCTCACCCTCTTTCCTGGAAGATTGTGTCCCCAAAAAAAAGATAGATAGATTACAGTCCTGACCCTGTACCTGTGGGCATGACCTGTGGAGGGGGACAGGAAAGGGGATCTTTCTTTGAAAATGTATCTGTTCAAGGGGAAAGACCCAGTGTGGAAAACAGTGTATACAAACTTAATGAACTTTGTATGTAAACCAGTGTAAAATAATAATAATTAATAATAATAGTAATAAAGGAAATGTATCTGTTAGGTCACATGTGTTAGATTGTTGTTGTTGAACTAACTCATCGCTGACCCTACAGTGGATTTTCAGAGGCTGTAAATCCCATGAGAGAAGATTTCCCATCTTTCTGCCTCAGAGAAGCTGGTGGATTCGAACTGAGTGCCTTTGGGTTGGTAGCTCGACTCCTTAGCACTAAGCCACCAGAGCTTCCTAGCGAAGTATTTCCTAGTCCCCATTCTCTCTGAGTGGTGTTGTAGGAAGGAGAGGGCAGACCAGAAGCCGTCACGTCCAGGACTAACTGCTGTGTGGACACGACGACAGCAGCACAGGAGCGCCGGGGATTTGGGATAAGGCCTGTCACTCATTCCTCAGAAGGGTCAGCTGACGCCCTGAGCTAGTACTTCAGCGCCTGTAACCATAAAGCAATACATGTCTGTTCTCTAAGGCATCAGCTTTGCTGTGTCTTTGTTATGGCCGCCTACCATGGTTTCTCAGTGCTGTTGTAACAGAATTACCAGAAATAGGTGGTTTTGAAGAGCGGTCATTTACTTATTTTACCGTTTAGGAGACTAGACATTCAATCCTGGGTCCCTGAACCAGGGGAAGTCTCTCCCTCCCTCCGTGTGTGTGTGTGTGTGTGTGTGTGTGTGTGTGTGTGTGTGTGTGTGTGTGTGTCCGTCCCGCCACTAAGAGAAGACTCCCTGTCTGACTGTCTCGCTATCTGTCTCTCAGTTCTGGGAGGGAAACTCTCTTCTCTTCTCTCTCTCTTCCTTTCTCTTGGCCCTGAGGAAATATTCTCTCTGTGTATGTCTCTGTCTGTGTCTCTCTTTGTCTGTCTGTCTCTCCTCTAGAGAAGGCTCTCTTTTTCTTTCTTTCTTTCTCTGCTCTGAGGAGATGTTCCTCCTCTGCATGTCTCTCTCTCTCTCTCTCTCTGTGTGTGTGTGTGTGTGTGTGTGTGTGTGTGTGTGTGTGTGTCTGAGTTCTGATGGAAGAATCTCTTTTTCCTTGTCTCTTTTGTATCTCTCTCTCTCTCTCCCTCTCTCTCGACCTTGAGGAAAACTTTCTTCTCTCTCTGCTCTGAGGAGAGCTCTCTCTCTGTCTCTCCGTGTGTGTGTGTGTGTGTGTGTGTGTGTGTGTCTGAGTTCTGATGAGTCTCTTTTTCTTTGTCTCTTTTGTATCTCTCTCTCTCTCTTTCTCTCTCTGGACCTTGAGGAAACTTTTCTTCTCACTCTGCTCTGAGGAGAGCTCTCTCTCTCTGTCTCTCTCTCCCCCCACCCCCGTGTGTGTGTGTGTGTGTGTGTGTGTGTGTGTGCGCGCGCGTGCACGCACACGTGTGTATAAACCCTGGCTCTGGCAGCTCCTGTAATTCCCAGATGCCCTCAAATCCTGGAATGTCCCCACGTGGCATCTCTCTTTCCCATGTCTGCCCCCTCATCCCTGTGTCTGTCTGTCTTGCTCCTTTTCATTCACCAGTGACCAGGCTGAGCGCTCACCCTGCACTCATACGGCCTCATTAGCTTAGCCAAGAAAACTTTTGTTTTCCAACATGATCATATCCACATGCATTTTTTTTTCTTATTTTCTTTTTCTTGTAATTTGCATGAAAGTTTACCCAGCAATTTGGTTATCTATCCAGTTTATTCCTACACATTCTGTTTGGGTTTGTTCCTAATTTTTTTTTATCATTGGGTCATTGAATCAATCCATCTCATCAAGGGTCTTCCTCTCCTGTGCTGTCCCTCTGCCCTTGCACACATGATGTCCCTCTCCAAGGACTGGTCCCTCCTTGCAACATGTCCAAAGTATGTCAGACTCTTTGCCTTCAGAATCCTTGTCTCCAAGGATTTAGTGACTAGGGTAACGGAGTAGGTGTGTCAGAGGCAATGAGATTGGCACAGGATAGAGCAGGGTTTAGGGCTGTTGTACATAGAGTCGCTATGACTCGCAGGCCACTCGACGGCACATGACAACTACAACAACAACATTGGCTCAGTTTCCATCTAATGTCAACCCCATGTCTGCTGAGTAGAACTGCTCCATAGGTTTTTCACGGCAGAGACCTTTGGGAAGCAGGCTGCCATGCCTTTCTTCCAGGGCACCTCTATGTGTACTTGAACCCTTACTCTTTTGATTAGTAGCCAAGCACTGAACCATCTGTGCCACCCAAGGAACCCATCCTCTTGAAACACCGGGATTTATCTGGGGGGCACAATGCAAAGAACTTGGATGCTAAGACACATCATCTCATCAATCCAAACCAGCCAGCATGTAGGGCTAGTGGTCACATGACCCTCTGCTCACAGACACAGGAAAGTTGGAGGCTAGGAGGGTGAAGGACCCCCGTTATGATGCTTGACGCCCTTGCAAGAGTTTAACAAATCTGTGTGTCTCTTTCTTCTAGGAAACCAGGGAGTATGAAGTTTCCATCTGAAGACGGAAATGTACTCAACACGAACTCAACTACAACCTCCTCAAGTCCATCCAGAGACCACGGGCATTGGATTGAACCCGCTGTCTTTTCTTTAGACTCTTCATGGAAGACTTACATGTTTTGATTTTTTTTCTTTGCTGTATTTATTCTATTTAAAGTGGAGATAGGTGTGGTCAGGGGTCACGGAACCAGAGTCTGTTCCGACGACGGGTGGAAGATTCTGTGAGATGGTAATTCCAGCAGAAGCAATGACAATGAAGAGGGCATCTCTCCGGTCAGCAGTGCTGGGCAGAGGCTGCGTCGCTTCACGTGCATCACTGGGACCTTCCCTCCACCCCAGCCCTGGAGTACAAACCTAAGTTCCAAGATTGGAATCCCCTGGAGGTGCCAGAAGTTAACTCCTGTGACTGCTAACCGAGAGGTTGGAGGTTCAGGTCCACCTAAAGATGCCTTAGAAAAAGGACCTCGTGATCAGCTTCCAAAAATAATGAGTCATTGAAACACACACACACACACACACACACACACACACACACACACCCTCTAGGACACAAGTCTATTCTAATGCATATGTCGCCACTATGATCGTTGGTGTTGACTTGACTTCAACTGGTTTGGGTTTGGGGGGGTCTGTCCCAAAATGAAGTTGGGAGTAGTTCTTGTTGGGTCAACTTGAGTTGGGATTAAGCAAGGGCTCTTCACCAGATGGGCTCCAAAACACATTCTGCGTCCTTTCTTGCGACTTCACCAACATCTAAGAAGGTCTCACGACCTCCGCTCCATCATATATGCCTTTTGAGGTCAAGGATGTTCCTTGGGCATTCTCTACCAGGAGCCAATGCGGTAGAGAAGGATTTGATGCGTGGGAAGGGCGACAGATGGCTGAGGAGAAATTGTCAGGGAAGACAGGGCATGAGAATGTTGCCGTAAAGAATACATGAGGATGAAGCCGGGGGAGAGGACCTCCCTTTCTTTACTATGTGTGTGAAGATGAACAAGGAGACCACGCATCCTACAAGTACCCTCGTCCATCACCTCGTTCGGAGTCACCCCAGCCACCACGCTGTGAGTCCACATGGGAACTCTGCTTTTTCCCTGGGCTGCTGGGATGCCGTCACGCTCCAGACAGCGATCTGAGACTCAAGTGTGCTATTTCTGTAGCAGGTCCTCCGAGGAATTGGTGAGTGTGTGACCTTCTGGAAGATGCTTTCTGAAATGCATCTCTAAGGAAGAGGCATGAGGTGTTTATGCGTACTGCACGTAGGACATACGAGGCGGATTCACTTCCTGGCGATGGCTGGTGGCCCAGCGAGGGCTGTGGGGTCCCTGGGCACCCTCCTCCTCTCTCAGATGCTCTGCATTGACTGGATTTTAAACAAGAATAGGACTTTCTGGTGGCCATGGCCCTACAAGCCTGAGCAAGAGTCCTTGATGGGTGGCTGTCTAGGAAACACCTCCCAGAGCAAGATGTGGGTGGGGTTTGCATATGTGCATGCATAGATACATGCACTCATGCATATTCATTAAAATTCATGCATATGCAAAAACGCTTATGCACACACACGCCTGCACTTCAGCACACATACGTAAATGTATACACTTCTGCACACAACAGCCACTCATAGGCTCCTCCCACCAGGAGCCTGGATCGCAGTCCCAGGGCTTTGAAGTTGAATCACTTCCTTCTAGTAAAACAGAATCTTGTGTCCATGATCCTCAAGATATGCACTCACGGCGCATGGCAAGAGGTAGCACCCAGAGGTCACCTCATCCTCATAAAAGAGCCGGGAGGACACGTCCCAGACCACTTGTGACTCACGCCACGCTTGGAGAAAAGCCACCAGAACAAATCAAATAACCTTCCCCCGCAAAGGCAGCCTTCAATCTTTTGCTTCTGTTCCGTCCCTTTTTCTAATCCCAGCCCCAGGCCATCTGGAATGAAGAAATCCATTGATCGTGTTTGACTTTGAAAACGTACTCTGTGTGACTGTATGAAAACTCAACTTTGGCCTTTCATCAAGACTGACCAAACACCAAGTCTTCCCCCCCCACCCCGGAAACCTGCAGAGCCGTAGCCCAGCTATTCTTATCGGAGAGATAGGAAAGATTTGTCTTTTCTCCCCCCTCTTTTTTCAGGACACCACTGACTTAGTTCCATCTTCTTAGCCCAGCGCCTGTAACCATGACAATGTCTTAAAAAGTTTGTTTCAGCCTAGAAGTGGACCAAGCAAGCTCACCGCTGTACGTGATGAGCAAGGCAGGTTGGTGTGTATCTCTCTCTCTTTCCAAACTACCTGAATGTGTCTTTGTAATATGTAAAAGTAATAAGAACAACAAAAAAAAATAATAGTAGTGCCAAAAAAAAATTATACTGTACCAGGCGTCTCATTTCATTTCCTACATGTCTGTTTTTATAAGATCAAGCTTGAAGCCATGGGGATTCAATCTTTTTGGATAGGACGCACTCTTGAGAACCTCAAGAATGGAACTGAATCTTCCTACAAGCCGCTCTTTGGTTTTGAAACAGAGAGTGGGATGCGCTTCGGAGAATGCATGTGATATGACTTGTATTACATGCTCACATATACAAGCTGTATCTGTCAGCTGCTGTCCAGTCTTGAGAAAAAAAAATGCACACTCTTGACCTCTTTAGCTTGAAGCTCATCCATTTGCTTTTTGTTTGTATGTTTGTTTGTTTGTTTCTTTCTTTCTTTCAGGAGAACTGTTTAGCTAGTGGAAGTTATCTATTGCTACTTGATGGCCCTTCTTCCTTTGTTCTTGAGATGGTGGAGAGCCCCCTCCACTCCAGGCGGCTAAGCTTTAGCAAGCTCCCCGGATGGAGCAGAGCAGGTTGGCTGTGGAAGAGGGAACACAGCCGCTGTCTAGATGGAAGGAAAGATCTGAGTTTTGAGCAAACAGTGATGTTTTAGGGTCACTCCAAGGGTTTGGCTTTCCTCATGCCCTTGGGCAGATCTTGTTGAGGTGTTTAGCGCTCCCAAAGCTAGGCTTAGATTATCATTTTTTCTCCCCACACAAAAATGAAAAGCAAAACAAACTTTCTAAGCTAGAATAATGAAGTCATTTTCCACTTTGTATATATATATTGATGCTAATAAAACAAATGAAAAGCAGTCTACTTCTGGGGAGTTTCTGTTAAACCATTATTCCAAGATGGCGCCAGTGGGGATACTTCTAGGATTAAGGTGGGGACACCACTGGGAATTCTGGGTGTGTCTGGAAATGGATGGGGAATGACAGGGAACAAGATAAGCTTAATAAGACCATCTCATCAGACACACCCTCATCCTCTGATAGCCCTAAAAGCACGGAGGACCACTTCCAGGACCTTCTGAGCTGTGGTATCTCACTGAAGTCTTGAAAAGCTGGTATTCCTCAGTGGGAAATGGGTGTTTTCACACTCCTGGGTTATAGCTGTGTTTGAATTCACATGTCGTAAAAAGTAGATCTGATGGTGTTACTGACCAAGAGTCAGAACTTCAAACCCACTAACAGCTCTGGAGCAGAAGAGGCCTGGTTATCTCCCCTTAAAAAGATTACAGCCTAGGGGAGCTCTGGTGGCCTAGTGGCAAGGAGCTGCAACTACAATCCCAGAGGCGCACAGTTCGAATCCACCAGATGCTCTGCTGGGGAAGGAGGGACAATCTCCTCCTGTAACGGTCAGATCTGATTTAACGGTACACTCACACCAAAAAAAAAAAAAAAGATTACAGCCTGTTGTGAGGTGACGTCGAGTCGAGTACCACTCATAGTGACCCTGTCAACAACAGAGCTGATCCCTGTCCTGTCTGTGCCTCCCTCACCGTCTCTGACACACTTGAGTCCATTGCTGCAGCCACCGTGTCAGTGCATCTCTATGGGAGTCCTCGGTCATTTGCCAGTCCATGGAATATTCAGCACTCTTCCCCAGCACCACAACTCGAAGGCATCAGTCCTTCATCTGTCATCCTTAGTCATTGTCCAGCTCTCAGGTCAGATCACTCTGAGCGATAAAGTCAAGGGCATTTAACAACAGTGTCTTAGAAGCGAGACTTAAGACGAAGATGCTAGTGCGAAACATTTATTTGCTAGTTGGTCCCATAAAGTATCCGTAGGGGAATGGGGCCAAGACACCAGAAAGGGAAGAAATCCAGTCAAAAGTCCATTGAACAAGGACGTTGTTTGTACACGCCAAAGGTTTCTCCCATTGGGGAATTCTGGGAGCCTTGGAGAACAAGCCAGAGAATCACTCCATCTGCAAGGGGTGGGCACTGGGGTATCTGTCCACCAATTCTCACCTGCCATTGACTGAGGGCTGTCCTGGGAGGCCCTAACCTCCCACCCCCAACATGACCTGTCCCTAAGAAAGCCTTTGAAAGGTGGTTTATGTTTGCAGGTGCGTGTCCACGGAGTGGGGTCCATGGGGATGGTGAGTGCCAGGGGCTGTGGACAGAGCACCTGCAGCGTTCCTTTCACTACTAAGCACAGCTCAGCAAGTTTCACCGTTGGAAGGGGAGCTGCGATCCCAAAGGCACAGAGTTCAAATCCACCAGCTGTTCCTCAGGAGAATGGGCTGTCTTTCTCCTATGTGAGTTACTGCCTCTGAAAACTCACTGGAAGATTAGCAATGAGTTGGTTCCAACTCAATGATAAATAACAACAACTAATAAATAAGAATGAACGAAAGCGAGTCTATACCTTTGAACTGTGGTATCGGCAAAGAATATTGAATATGTCATGATCTATCAAAAGAGCAAACAGGTCTGACATGGAGGGAGTGCAACCTATACTTGGTGGCATGTTGTCAGGAGGACATCGTGCTTGGGACAGTGTAGGCTCAGCCAAAGAGGGGAAGACCCTCCTAGGGATGGAGTGGCACAGTGAGCTTGACCTTGGCAGAGATTATGAAGATGGGCATGGCTTCAGTCAGTTGTGCACAGGGTTGCTGTGCGTCCGAGTCAATTTCTTCTTTTCTTTTAATATGAATAAATTTTTATTTCGTG